AGGGGGTATGGATTCAAACTCAGAGTAGGTTTAGATTAGATATTAGGAAGAAGTTTTTTGTTCTGAGGGTGATGAGGCACTGGAACAGGTTGCTCAGAGAAGTTGTGGATGTTCCATCCTGGAGGTGTTCAAGGCCGGGCTGGCTGGGGCTCTGAGGAACCTGCTCTAGTGAAAGGTGTCCCTGCCCATGGCAGGGGGTTGGAACTAGGTGACCTTTAAGGTCCCCACAGAGGTGTTTTGTAGGGTGGGTGCTAATGTTGTTAATTCCACCTTTTCACATGATTTACTCCTGAGCAGAGACTTGTGGCTCTCTGAGAAATGCCTGGATCCTTGCAGTGGCTTCATGGCAGTGAACACACTGGTAGTGTTGATGAGAAGATTAGGTATAGGGAGATTGAGTGACTTGCCCAAAGCCAGAAAATCTAATTCTTAAATTACTGCAATCATCATCGGTCCTCTTGGAAATGTATTATTTCCCCTTCCATTGGGAATGTGTGTAGAAACATTACAACCTTATATCAGCTTTCCAGAAGTGAAATCACTGATCATTTACATCTGGCTAAAACTGAGGCAGCTGCCAATACTCAGAGTGGTTTCCTTGCCACTTCTGTTTGTTTTGCTGTGAAATTCCTCCTGCGAGTGCTTGAGCCCTTGGAATTATTGGTTTTTCATACCTGAGATAAAGGACAGCGAGTTGCTTTGATCTGAAAATCCACAACACAGCTGGAACCAGGAGGTTCCACCCCCCCATCCCACCCCCTACCACGCAAGCCAAGTGCCAAGCTCTGCCAGCTCAGCATTGCTGGTGCCACTCCTTCCTGTTCTGCAATGTGCAAACAGCCTGGTGACGTAGCAGGGTAACACACTCTGTTTGAACAGTCTCTTCAGTCAAGGATCTTTCCAAAAGAAATTGGACAGGAATTAATGAATATGCCTGTGAGTGGGATATTACCTAGTGCAAGTGGAATAGAAAAGGCAGCACGTTATGACAGGAAATGAGGTGGGAACATTTTCTCAGCAGATCTGCAGGTGGTTGCAGAGTCAAGAGAGGACAGGGTTCTTTTTCACTCCGCAGGGCAGATGGAGTTGGTAATGTCCTGCCTGTGTGAGTAGAGGGGTAAAGGGATGCCCCTGCTGGTTTTTCCTGACCGAAGTGATGTTATTTAGCACTGATTAGCTACCTAAAGTCTCCCTCTCCACCTTTCCTTTTACTCCATCCCTTGTACCAACCCTGCTCTAGCCCCACTGCTGCTTTATCGTGGAGCAGTTCTCTCTGCCTGGGTGGGCAGACAGCTGCCTCCTCCTGTGAAGCAAATGGAGTGTTTCATCCATCACACACTGTGCAAAATTAAGGCCTTCCTCACTTTTCATCACTCAGTTTCATGATTTCCTGCAGATTGCTTTGTGTTGTCAGATCTGTCTTTTTATGTGACAGCACCTTCCATGCTCTGCTCTCTTCAAATCCCACGTGAAATTCACCCATTTTGTACAAGTCACTCAGACAATTTGCTACTGGAGGAAAGGATTTGTGAGCTATTTCTCATGGAATGCTATTCCTGGTGGAGGCCCAAAGCATCTGTTTCATGTTTCATTTGCTAGGGCAAAGATCACCTGGGATGGAACCAGGCCCTTTCTCTCACCCCTGCATAGATGAGGACCATGATGTTTATTTGCAAACTGCATTAGCAGTGACCTCTGGATCTGCAGTCCTTGGATATTGTGTCAAAGGGTGACAGGAATGACTTATATTTCATCTTCCTGATAACTCAAGATTTCTTTGGGCTGGGTTTTTTTGGACTATCTCTACTGACCTGTGGCACTGGGGAGCTGGATTCTGGTAAGTGAATGATGCTGGTATATCTTGGAAAGCTAGGGAAGAGGGGATGAAGGAGGAAGTTCCTTCAGCAAGGCATGAAGCAGAGTGAGACCTCAAGGGCTCTGTCCCTGGGAGGACTCCTGGTAAGTGAGGCTGAATTGCTGCTTTGAGGGTCACTCTTCAGCAGGGAGTTGGGCTGTGCTGTTAGGGGTGTGCCAACAGGTATCAGCAAACACAGGGACACAGGCTGAATTTCTCTGCATTTCCTTCATGCAGAATTACACCTTCCTCACTACTTGCTCTTGTGTGAACACCTGAACACTTGTGCAGGGCTCCTCTTCCAGAAGGCTCTTCCCTTGCTGCCATCACAAGGTGGTTAGGCTGAGTGTGGTAGTGCATCCTATTTTCCCCTAAGTCCTGGCCAGACACCAGGAGCAAAGAACTAGAGACTACATTAGTGGTGACTGTGTTTGCTTGGGGCTCATGTTCCCCTGCTAAGAACCCATTGAGGCAAACGTCCCTGAAGTAGCTGTGTGTGCATTCCTCCAGAGCCAGCTGTCCCAGGGATATCTCCAGGGGACAAGGTGAAATGTCTCAAGCCCCAAAACGTTCTTCTTTCAGACTGACACTTCCTGAAGGACCTCTCTTTGAAGAACAATTTCAGTCAGGTGATAAACCTGACTTCTTTCAGTGTAGCTCATTGAAGGGACTGAAACCATTATTTGTATATTATATTTGTATATTATTTGATTCTTCATATATAACTATTATTATATATCCCTTCTATCTACTTTGTTATTTATACATTATCCAAATGCTTGAATCCCGAGTCAGATTTCTGCTGCATAAAGCAAATAGCATTTTGATAGAAGCGTTGGTATGAACAAAGGTTAAAAGAATAAAGAAAGGGTTAATTTTCTGCTGCAAAGCGAAGGGTTTGGGTTGGTTGGGTTTTGTTGGGGTTTTTTTACAATCTCAGAAGGTTTCATGAGGAAGATTCCCTTTGAGCCATTCAACTTAGCTAAAAAAGTTAGGAATTTTGCTTGGCCTTGCGATATTTCATGGGAAATACTTATCAGCCCTGATGGCTCTGACATGCCAATCAGCCTCTATTTTGTTACTGATAAGGCACCAATCACTGCAATATATAGAAAAATTCCCCCCAACATGACACCCTCAGCCATGTGATGGGAAGGGACTTGTGGTGACACTTTCATATGGAGAATATAATGAATCTCGTCACTTTGCCTGGAATCAGCTCCCTGGATAGAAATATTAACCAGTGGTGTCCAAACAGCAGCTCCAAAGGTGTCAATGACTGCTGCAGCATGGGCTGGAGCATGTCAGTACTTTGCCTGATCCCTGCAGGAACCAGGAGGCTTTAGGCTCCTGGGCTGTCCCTCCACAGACAGCTGTGTCCTTGTCCCCATGTGTCACTGACACAGCAGGTCCCGTATCTGATTCTGCTGCTGGAGAAGTCCTGCAAGGACAGCAGCAAGAATGGCTGATGGGAGAAGGGGAAGCAGCACCTTTCCCCACACTTGGCATGGGTTGCTGAACCATTAATAACTCCTGTATGGACACCAGGTATAACAAGGAAGAGCTACTGAATAACCCAGTGTGTTTTAGCAGCTACATTGCTATCTCGCTAGATAATGTTTGACTTCTGGTTTGAAGTTTTTGCTGTCCTTGCATGATGTTGCATTGGAAGAAACTGTTCTCTCCAGCACAGAAAGCATTCAGGGAAGGATGCCTAAGAAATTATGGGAAGCAAATTAATAAAAATCCTTTCCTTTTCAGTTCCAAGAAACTTTGAGCCCTCACACTGAACTGTGCTATATGTCACTGATGCAGCAGCTTATCCAAAACATCACTTCAGTGAGAAATAGGTTCTTGAGAAATGTATGGAAAACAGCACTGGGTACCAAAGTCCTCAGCTCCCCTGTAAAGGGACCCAGGGGGGCAGCAGCAGTGAAATATTCTTTTCCCTTTGCTGCCAGTGTGCCTTGGCTCTGACCCGGGGAAACCTCTTCAAGAGGAGTACAATTCAGGTCACGGCTTGGCAAGCTCTTGACTGCATCAGGACTTTGGTTTCCAGGTTCACTCTGGGCAAAGCTTAACCTCTCATACATATAGATGTGGCAGCCTCTGGTAATGGGACTGTAGGGCAAAAATACATCATTTTCTTGAGGTCTTGGTTTCCGTTGACCAGCAGATCTCTGTGCTTTTCTCTTTCCCCTGCTGAGATCACCACCCTGTGCTGGGGGCAAATTGGGTAAAAAAAATCAGGTGCTGGACCAATCTCCTGGCAAAATTCATCTCTCATCTCCCCGTGAGGGCAAAACACTGGAGTATGACAACAGCAATGATTCCTACTCTGCCACTGAACTCAGCAAGGTGCTGACATTGGAAAGGCAGTTGGGAAAAGTGGTTAAGAAACAGAGCTACTCCAGGGGCTAGGAAAGCTACCCTGTGGTTCGAAATGGAAAAAAATCCTTTGGATGTGGATGGATTAATTTCTGGGCTTCACCATGTGTATACACAATAAGCAGGTAACAATCCATGGGGATCAGGGTAGAGGTTTAGGGTCACCTGTGTGGGTTAGGAAAGCCAAGAAAAATTGCTTGGGGAAGGCATAAGGAATATTCCTTGATGACAAGGGTGTCTGCTTCATCAGAAGGAGGAAGAGTGGGCTGGGATAGGGGGAGGAGGCACCTCCTACGCAGCCACCGATGTGACTTCTCTGTGGTGCAGAGCAGGAGTGTCCTCTGGCAAACAAGTGTGCAAATCTGTCTCCTGGGGCTGCTAAGGGCAATGGGGAACGGTCCCTTTACAGCCAGGGCTGCCCTGAGAGTCACCACCCCTCGTGACTTTCCAAGCAGAAGGGCACTGGGAACAGCAGCTCTGGCGCAGCATTTCAGGGCTTCATGGGATTACTTATTCACTGTGTTCCTGGAACTGCTCCAGGCTTCCCAGCTCTGCCTCCAGTGTACAAATTCATCAAGTATCCACGAGGCTCACAATCCCCCAGAGGCAAGAGAAGACTGTAGGAAGGTGATTTATATGACAAGTCACACTGTCTGCGAGGACCTGCGAGGCTCTGGGAAGACCAAAGTGGTATCCTCCTCCTTTCTACCTCCCCTAAGGCTCGAGCAGGGTAATTAAGGCAGCAGACGAACTCTGGATGGATTTCATTGCCGGGGCCATCGGAGGTAAATACATAAATTAGTGCTTGTTGATGAAAGCAGATTGCTGTGTTTCCTTCTCGTTCAGCTAAAGGGCAGGTCTCAGAGGCAGAGCTGAGAGCCTTTCCATAGGCTGCTGGTTAAAAGTGCAATTCTTCCTCATTTAAACGGGAAATGTCAGCAGAGCAGGTTCACGGAGCTGCTGGAGAGCCAGAGCTGCAGCTTGGTCAGCTGAGGTCATTGCTTGCAATCTCCTCTGCTCTAATTGCAGTGGGACAGGCTGAAACTCTAGTAGGAAGAGGCAGAGTTTGAGATGTTGTGTGCAGAGAGATGCAAACTGGCTTGTATTACCTGGACAGCGAACCCTCCTCACCTATGTTGGTCCTGGCAGGCTGCTGGGGACGTGGCTCTAAGAGGCTGAGGATGTGATTTGTGAGACAGGAGGGGAGAAAACACAGTGCTGTTGCAGTGGAGAAGGTCTGAATGAACGGCCTTAGCATTATCTTAGCTTAGGATGTATTTGTGGTGGTGGTGGTGGTGATTCAGTGCAGGCATGCTACGTAGCAGGCTTTGATCTGGGAGAAAGTAGGTTAGCTGTGTATAAAAAAAGCTGCAGGAGAGAAGTGTGATTTAATTCTAGACATTTTTAGAGCGTGTACTGCTCAAACCCAGCTTTGTTTTAAACAACAAAATGTACCCACAGGTCTCACTTCTTTTCTGAAATCTTGTCAGATTTAGCAGAGTATCCAAGTGAATGTATGCCAATAAGTACCAAGAGAAGAGCCACAGGGTTACTGCTGACAGAAAAGCCAGGGAAACCTGTCAGGTGGTTGAGATGTCCAGCCCAAACCTGCATATCAGATCTCACTCTGAGATTTGCTGAAATTTGGCATTTTCCCTCACCAGGATCAGACTGTGGTATTGGTGCAGATGTACTTGCCCTGGAAAGAGCCATGATGAGTTTTACCTTGCACCCTGTAGTTGCTCATCACTCAAAATGTGCAAATGGGGTGAGGTTTGGCATCTCAGCAGCATCCAGCCTTGGAGGTGCCTGTTGCTTGGGGTGTTGGTTTTCCTGTTGAGAGACCCTGCTTGTAAAAGGCTCTTCATGGAGAGTAGGATATAACTAGCCCCTCCA